AGTAGGTAGACGCAGACAAAATAAACTGCTACGATACTTTGACTTGTAGGAGACACATATAGGCCTATATATACATATATGTACAATGCCATATACATATATATATATACATATACCATATATATATTATTATATATATGCACATATATATATACATTATATATACATATATATACCATATATATATATATATATAGGCCTATATAAGCATTTGTTGTATAGGCCTAATGTATAACGCGTAGCATAACTGTATACTAATGTGTTTTGTGTTGACTTTTTATGAATTAAACCCACTCTGCCAGATAACTCGTATGGCCATTAGACCATTAAACTTGGGTTTCAAGAAAATGCAAATAATGATGATATTGATAATTGGTTGATAATGATAATGTTACTGTAATTGTTGCTTTTGTTATTGTTATTTTCATCATCATCATCATCATCATCATCATCATCATCATCATCATCATCATCATCATCATCATCATCATTATCTTCATCATCACGATACTAAAAAATGTGAAGACGCAGAAAAAGAAGTGAAATGGATTTGATTAACACTCAATATAGAAAAATTCAACATTATGCCACCCATTGCAGATATTTACCACTGATAAAAATAAACATACTTGACCGTATTCAATTCTACATTTAACGAATAAAAATGTTCCCCGCGGTTCGTACAATACACTCTTCTTCAAGATCTCTATTGTTTCAAATTTCAATAAGGCAAAAGTTGAGTATACAAAACGTGATTCTGTCAGGTTTGGAATATCAAATAGTTGGAGGGCCTAGGCCAGAATGACATTCAATCGCCTAACAGTTTAAATAAGATACCTAAGTAAAGCTACCATAACAATTCTACAAATCTCTAGGTACCAGACCGTCGTAAAATATCGAAGATTTCGTTGTATTTCAATTTTAGCGTTCAATCACCTAAACATTACAATAACGCTTAAAGGCTAAGCGTGGTGAAATTCAGTGTATTTTACAATTCGGGGACGACATATGAACACTTGTGAAAACATCCTTTGTTTTTAGAATTATGTACTATTAATATTTATCATTTCTTTCGATTGATTTGGAGACATGGTCAGAAATGATCAAACCAGCAATCCCTACAAATGCCCTGAATTCCAACTCTGAAGTTCATCTAAGTGTCAGAAGATTTGTTATATCAAATGGTACAATCTGCAAAACCTCAGACATTCAATTAAACATTGATTTGTTTATTAAAAAGTATCAAGTATTTTATCAATTTCCAATGATACACAGATTGATAAAGTTTTGTTTTCCCTGACTTACAGACCTTCCAGCTAGTTTATTACGAAATATACAAGCTTACTACGAGCTTACTTCAAGCTTAATGAGTATTTTGAGCTAAATGTAAGTAGCGGCAAACTCGTAGTAAGATCGCAGAATGTCACTGGGTAACTCATAGCCAATCATACCTAAATCGTAATAAGTTCAAAACTCGTATGAAGCTCATCATCGTACTAACCGCGTAACAAACTCAGTACAAACGTCTTAGCATCGCAAACTAGTAGCTCGGCAAACTCTTCTAAACAATTTGTAGGATGAAAAATCTGTGAGACCATATGGAACGCCAACTGGGCTATTGGTGGGTAACTCTGAGGGCCGCTCAATCGCGAAACCACCTCTCGTGTTGAATAAGCAATTGAGTTTTCAAAAAGGTATGGACCCGGCGCTTATGTGGTTATTTATTGTAGGATAATGTAATGTTTTTAATAATAGTGTTTTAATAGCCTGCATCGTTGAAATGAAACCCATTTAAAAATTGTAAGCATATTCCTGTTGGTACAACCGACAGGTATATGCCCATTATTGCTGCCTTTATAAGGTTATAGGAGACGACAAAACTATGGATGGAAGCCGATGTCTTTCTTGAAACTCAGGAATATCAAAGTGACAACGTGAAAAGGACATATTGTACAGCCAATATCCACAGAGGAGACATCTGAGCAACTGCTGGTTCGCGCGCTATACGCACACTTTATTCGCTGTCGGAGGTTATGAGCGGTCAACTTGACTCCAATCAAAATCTATCTAAAATATAGTTAGGCCTCTTAATTCTACTTTAAATAGAAGCATCACAGCGGTGCATGACCTCGCCGATTGAGCGTCGGCAATTACGCTTGTCATATCGTTAGTGTAACTATGATAAAGAGGCGTGACTGCTGGCTAAATAGTAGGCTTGGATTGTCCGATGATTTTTTTTGATTGATGGTATGTAAACTTCACTTTATGACTTAAGCAATGGGATGCCGCCATATCATGCATATTTATTCCTATTTAATCACACACCCACGGCCAACACCCGACGGACGTACCCTTTACACGCAACTAACCACACGCACAGTATCTTTTTGCCACTATCTATTCGAATAAATGCTCTGGGGTGTTTATTGTTCTGAGGGGCGTTTATTTTTTTACGTATATCTACTCAAAATAACACTCCTTCATTTCACTGAAAATGCAGAACATAACACACATTTATTGTCAAAAAGTGTTTTATAGTTTTAGATCCCAGGTTAGAAATAATATAATTGTGTTGATAATGATGTTGGTTCCGTAAGTTTTTTCACATCATCTTTTTACTTATCGAGTCTATTATTTACAAGGTCATACTCTGTAGAGCCATGTCAATTTTGGTCTAAAACTTGACATTAAGTTTCTCGTGTATAGTGGTGAAAGGACAGTCAATTGAGGAATTTATTCGAGGAAAAAATATTCGAGGGGTGTTTATTCGAAATGACATTCTAGGGGGAGAGTATATTAAAGAACGTTTACTGTATTCAAAGCGGGGAGTTTTCGAATAATACGGTAGGCCTATATTTAATCATTATAACTGAATATTGTACTTTAAGTGTACGAACATAAATCGTTCAATTTCACCAGTGATGTGTAGGCCTACATAGTACACAGTAGTAAAATAGTACATAGGCTTTTTTTGTTAAAAATGTATTGCACTTTTCGAATACCGTACCTTCCCCCTTTACCCGACTCCAAATAGTAAATGATGAAAACGGGAAAAAAATCAAAGGAGTCATGCGCACTCTTCTCTCTTCACTAACCTCCTTCATTAAGTACATGCAACTTTAATAACTTAATCGCCAGTAGTATGCCAAATGCCATGGTTATAAATAAAGTACCCACAATGCAATGCTCCCTCGTGGGATTTCTAATGGAAAAAGCAATATTTCACTAAAATTAATCTCTACGTCCGTTGTCCCTGTTCCCTCGTGAAAATATGGTTAATCCATTTTAAACATTATTTACAACACTTGTAAACAATAATAAGTATAGTATGCCTGTATGAAAAAGGTTTTATATTAATATGATTTCCCGTAATGGATAGCTTTAATATGGATTCCCTCATTATCATCACGTGGTAATGAAGGACGAATAATTCCCTAAATTAAAAAAGCTGAGTAGAGTGATTATATCAACGCATGTTGAAATATCCACATACGGCCACCTCAATTAATAGTTTAGAATCCACGGTTATTATTTTTTTCTCTATTCTATTTCCTCCCCCTTA